TGCCAAGGACCCAGGACTGGGGCCCTTGTACAGGCTCTAAACTCGGCATGTGTCCGGGCGCTTGTCAGGGACACCCGCGCCCCTGTCCTCCCGCTCTGCCTGTGGCTCAGCCTCTCCCATCTGCCCCGCCTCAGGCTGCTCGGCTGGAACCCGATTTCCCACTCAGTCGCTCTGTGACCCTGAGCAAGTAACTCAGCCTTGCTGTGCCTTGGTTTCCTCACCTGTGCAGCGGGGCCGGAAGGGGAATCATGATGTCGGGAGAGGGAGCCGAGACGGTGTCCATGCAGCTTGGCAAGCAGTGCCCCCGGTGGCTCTGTTACTGTCATGATCACCCCGAGTGTGTTTTTGTGTCCTCCGCACAGCCTGGGAAGAGCCCTGTCTCCCGGGTTACGTCAGGACTGTGGGGGCAAAGAACTATTAAAAAGTGTGTTAGTTTCCTGTGGCTGCCATAACAAAGCACCAGAACTGTCCTGGCGTATAGCTCTAGAGGGCTCAAGGGTCGGCTGGGGTCGGCTGGGGTCGGCAGGGCCACAGCCCCTTGAAGGCTCTTGGGAAGGATGTGTTCCGGGCCCCTCTCCTGCCAGCTGGTCGTTTCTCCACTCGTGACAGCAGAGCTCCGGTCTGCCCCTGGCCTCCTCCCCGTGTGTGTCTGGATCCAAATTCCCCTGTTATAAGTCATGTTGGAAGTGGGCTCACCCTCCTCCAGTGGGACCTCCCGTTAACTTCCCTGCTTATATCTGCAATGGCCCTGTTTTCAAAGGAGGTCACATTTGAAGGTTCTGGGGGTTAGGGCTACATCATAGCTTGGAGGGGGGTACAGTTTAACCCGTAGTAAGATTATATTTTAGGACTGTGTTGGTAGAAAAACAAATACGTTAACTTTACACTGAAAACATTTCTCTGACCTACAATTTTCCCCTCGCTTTTTAAAGAAGTGAAAACATTTTCGTGGCCCCCCGAGAGCATGGTGGGCCCTGGCTCCGTACCTGCTGGGCCTGCTGGAGAAGTCAGCGCTGCCACCGCCCTGACCCCACGGTGACAGCGCCACCGCCCTGACCCCACGGTGACAGCGCCGCCGCCCCGGGTTCTCCCGGGCCCCCTCGGCTGGAGGCCGCTGCAGGCTGTGCCCCCAGCTCGTCTCTCCTTCCTCCTTTCCCGGGGCGTGGATGTGCTGTGGTTTGAGGTTCCAGGGCGTTTTATTCTCATTTTTAAAAAAAGCTTCTCAGAGAGGAGCCTAATCGTATATTATTTGAAAATAGAATGTGCCTGGCTGCTGAGTCCAGTATAATAATAGTGATGCCGAGAATTCTCTCGAACACGTTGAACTTGTTACATCAGATGCCATCTGCACTGTTTAGAGCCTGAGCCAGCAAGATGTTCTAGGCAAAGACGCTTGTCATCCGAAAATTGCTGAGTCCCCTAAAAAGTGAAGTGCCTGGCTCTGGAGTTAGACTTACGACACGTCAAGGGGCCGGGGTAGCCTGCTGTGGGTGGGGGGTGGCCGAGTCGCAAACATTTATTGATGCCTACTGTATGCGGTGCATTTTACATTCAGCCTTATGTCTGAGCCTACAGCCACTCTGCGAAGTCACTGAGCTTGTTCAGATTTCCTAGAGCTGGCCCCTGAGTTCAGAGAGGTTGGGTAACCTGCCCAAGGTCACACAGCTGTCCAGCGGAGTCAGGATTTGAATCCAGGGCCTCTGACTCTGAGGCCCTCTGAATAAGGTGGAGGGTCACTGACCCAGGGCTTGAGAAGTCAAGGTTGCTCCCGTGAGAGGGGCACAGTCAGCGAGAGCCCCGGGGGATATGGCAGGGGGGAGGGAACACCTGAACCATTTTCTAATTCTGAAGATGGTGATTGTCTGAGTGTCCTGGGGCTGCCATAAAAATTGACCACAAACTGCCCTGGCCGGTTTGGCTCAGCGGTTAGAGCGTCGGCCCTTGGCCCAGAGAGAGCCGGGTTCGGTTCCCGCTAAGGGCACGTACCTCGGTTGCAGTTTGTCCCCGGCCCTGATTGGGGTCATGTGGGTGGCAGCCAGTCGATGTGTCTCTCTCACATCAATGTTGCTCTCTCTCTCTTCCTCCTTCTCTCCTCCTGCTCTATCTGAAGACAAATGCAAAAATGTCCTCGGGTGAAGATGAAAAACAAAAACGAGAAACTTTGACCACAAACTGGGTGGCTGACAACCACAGAAATGTGTCCTCTCTCAGTCCTGAAGGCTGGAAGCCTGGCATCAGGTGTCACCAGGGCCTCCTCCCTCCGGAGACGCCAGGGCAGGCTGGTCCCTGGCCTCTTGCAGCTCCTGGCACTTCTGGGCGGTCCCTGGCTTGAAGGTGCCTCGCTGCAGCCTCTGTCCCTCCACGTGTCCGCCTGGCCTTACAAGGACACCAGCCTTTGAACTTAGGGCCAGCCTCGTCCGGTGTGACCTCCACTGGTCACATCTGCAGAGACCCCCTTTGAACTTAGGGCCAGCCTCGTCCGGTGTGACCTCCACTGGTCACATCTGCAGAGACCCCCTTTGAACTTAGGGCCAGCCTCGTCTGGTGTGACCTCCACTGGTCACATCTGCAGAGACCCCCTTTCCAAATGAGGCCCGTTCTGAGGCTCTGGGCGGACACGACTGTGGGAGAACTGTGAGCCCAACGCAGCGGCTGAGCTCGGCCCGGGGCCCGTGCTGGGCCCTGTCGGGCTCCACGTAGGGAGGCTGGGCCCTGTCCTCGAGGACACAGGACTCCGGTGAGGTTTCCGGCCACTCACAGTCACACCCGGAGGCGTGGGGGGCTCAGAGAAGGGGTCCGGCTCCCGCAGGGTGGACAGAACAGAGCCTTGGGGTAAAGGTGCCTTCAGGAAGTGGGTGGGGCCCCTTCCAATGTCCCTGGGGACCTCGCGGGGCTCCAGCTGGTCCCTGCAGGGGTATGTGCCCCGGGCGGGAGTCTCCGGTCAGAAGGCAGGAAGGGCACCTGGTCACCCCCACCCCCCAGAGCATCTTCTGCCGTGTCCTGGCTGCCTGAGCTCGGCGCCCACCCTGACCCAGCAGCCTCGAGGTTCTGGCCATCCGCACTGGGCCACCTCCTTCGGTCACCTGAGGAACCCTTCCCGTCAGAGGCATGTCCCTCCTTGTCTAGTGGTTGTCGGGGAGACACTGCCACAGCCCTCACTCGGACTTATTTCGGAGCCCAGCGGACGCCGGGTCCCCATGGCCCTGCTCTGGTCTGACCGGGCGTTCTCAGTGGGTGAGGATCCCCCCGAAAGGGTGAACGTTTTCTTGCGGGCAGGACAGTTTGAGGTATTGCAATGGTCCGTGGTCCTCCACCGGCCACGGCGTGTAACGATGCGCAGAACAGCCGTGGTGCCGCATTCCCGGGGGAGAGAGTGGGGGGAATGTCTGGAACGCCCCCGAAGGAGGCAGTGACGACACGGGGCGAGAACCCTGGTCGGCGTGCGTCCCTGTGCGGCAGCTCCGAGCGCTCCCCGGCCTCAGTGGTGATGCCGCCCTCCACGTCCAGGGCCACCCCGCGCGGGCCTGCTGTTGGGCTCCGTTTTCTTCTCTGCTTTGAAAGAGGAAAACACAGAGGCACAGAGAGGGCAAGTGACTTGCCCAGGGCCACACAGCCGCTAAGAGGCAGCCCTGCAGCTCATGTCTTGTGTGAAGTGAAGACGAGCTGACAGTTCTCTTCCTGACGGCGGCCGAAGACCACCCGCCTGGGGACCTGTGTCTTTGAACCCTCCTCTCGTTCCTTTCTGTAATATCCTAGGTGACCATCGTGGGTTGACGTGTGTCTTCCAGAAAGACGTGTGGAAGTCCGGACCCCCAGTACTTATGAGTGTGATCTTATTGGAAAACAGGGTGTTTGCAGGTGTAATCAAGTTACGATGAGTTGTCCCGGCTCGGGGTGGGCCCAGCCCAGGGACTGGTGTCTCTGGAAGAGGAAATTTGGCCACGCAGAGGAGGCCAAGTAAAGACAGAGACCGAGAGATTGGAGCGAGGAGCCCCAGCCAAGGATCCCCAAACACTGCTGGTCCCCACTAGGAGCCCGGAGAGAGCCTGGAGCAGTTCTCCCCGGGAGCCTGTCCTGCCCACACCTTGACCTCAGGCTTTTGGCCTTCCCTGGGGGGCAGGGGTTTTTCCAGAACCAAGAGGGCCCAGGTTGGAAAATCCTCCTTCGTGTGATTCCCATTCTGTACGGCGATTAGACCCAGTTCTTGTCAAGGGATAAACGGAGCTTAAGCTGGGCCCAGGACGCCCGAGGCCCAGGTACGCATGAAAGGAAGCGGAATTAACATGCTCGGGACAGCCAGCCGCTCCCCGGGGAAAGGCCCGGTCTTCCAGGCATCGAGACCGAGCGCGGCAGAGCGAGGGCCGCCTCGACAGCGGCCTTTGCAAGGGGATGAACACGGTGTCTCGTCAGCGTCTCCCAGTTCGGTGGTAGTCACCACAAGGAAATAAATTCTCCCCCAATAGAGGCCACCCGAGTACTGACGGTAGGGTGGAGGGCCATGGTGTTTGTGGCAGTAAATCCATTTAAGATCCTGGGAAGAACGCATTCCCAGAACCCAATGATAATTTACCGAGGATTTAATAGTTGGCAAGTCCCCAGGCTGCTCTGGGTGGGATTTATCGTGGCCCGATACAGTCCTTCTGGGAAGAAAGAGAGCAACGGACTCAGGGCAGCTGGCGCGCCTGGGAAAAGGGCCTCTGTGACCCGGGCGGCCCCTGGACGGACCTGTCCTGGTTCTGAAATTTCTCAGGCTGCCTCGGCCCCAGGCCCTGCCCCCTGACACGTGCAGACACGCCTGGCACGGCAGAGGGGCTTAGCGTGTGGTGTGCCGTCCGTGACGGGTGGTCAGAGACCCGGCCGGGGCAGGCTGCGGCTCCACCACCTGGCCCGGCTCCCTGCGTTTCCGCTCATTGCGGTGGTGCTGCTGCTGCTGTGCCGGCTGGCTGAGCCCCCCGGGAAGGCCGCCCGGGCCCTCCGCTCAGCCGGGTTTCTCCCGGTAGGTTGCCCCCTGGGGCCGGCCTCATGGAGCGGATCCAAGCTATCGCCCAGAACGTCTCGGACATCGCCGTGAAGGTGGACCAGATCCTGCGCCACAGCCTGCTCCTGCACAGCAAGGGTGGGGGCCCGGGCACCCCGGTCCCCAGGGGCCGTGCGCTGGACGGGACATCCGCGTGGGGTGCAGACCTCCCGCTGTGGCCCCTAGGCTCTCAGCAGGGTGACTCGGGGTTCACCCACCCCAACCTGGCGTGAGGGTGCTGAGGACAGCAGAGGTCCCTGGAGACTCAGGTGGCCCCTTCCATTCCCCTCGATGTGGGAGCAGCAGCCTGGGGCTGCAGGCCCAACCTCTGTCCCCTGAAAGAGTGGGGTGCATTTGGGTGAGTGCATGAGATCTGCCCTTCCAGGCGGCTGGTCCATAGCCATTCAAGCCAGCACCTCACTGGGGCTGAACCTCCTGAGGAGGGTGGGGGTGGCAGAGGGAGCAGCCCCGGCCTGGGGACCCTCTAGTGGGTGACCGTTCAGGTGAGAAGACTCGGACGGAAGTTTGTTCGAGCCCCCATCCGTCCTCTCCGCTGCTGACCCTCTACTCCTCCCCCCTCCCCCGGGCTCTGTCCCAGACCCATGTCCTCAGCAAGATGACCTTCTCTCCCTAGTGTCCGAAGGGCGGCAGGACCAGTGTGAGGCACCCAGTGACCCCAAGTTCCCTGACTGCTCAGGGAAGGTGGAGGTGAGGCCTGGGGCTTGGGCTGGGGTGACCAGGAAGGGGGGCTCCTCCACGGGGGCCATGCCCCAGACTAGCTCTGGGATTCCGCTGTTGGCAGGGCAGTCCGCTAGCTAGGGCCTCCTGCCCAGGCGCTGACCCTGACCCTAGCACTAACTGGCAGAGGTCAACCTCAGGGTAACTGCCTCTCTACTTGGGGCACCTGCCTGGCCCACCAACCCGCCTTCCCTGGGATGAGCCACATTTCCATAGTGTTTATCACAAATGCGCTATTTTATATGTGTGTTACCATCAGCCTGCTCCCCGAAAGTCCAGGCGAGCAGTGGACCTAGGCTGCCCTCACCCCTCGTGGCCTAACCAGCTGGACGGAGAGCCCCTCAGGCCCCGCCTCCCAGGCCCTGCCCCCCGGGACCCATGGCTGCATGAAGCCTGTCCTTTGGGGGCCAGTTTGTGGCTGTAAAAGCCAGCTCCTCCTGGTTCTGGACTCCCCAAGAGGGCGGGGCAGCGGCACGGCAGGCCCCTTCCTCGGTGACCGCTCGGGACCGTTGTGGCTGGGTCCTGCCCTAGCCCCAGCCCTGGCCTCCGCGGAGGCTGCTCCTGACCTTGGCTCCAGTCGGACCCGGCCCGGCCCTGAGTTGCCCCACCTCCCGCTGGGTCCTGACCCGGCTCTGTTCTCCCGGGGCCTCCTCTTGCTGGGCCAGGAGCATGGCGGTCCAGCCTGACCTCCCCCAAGGTTCTCGGTGGCCAGGACGGGGCCCTGGGGCCCTGGTTCAGCCTCTCTTCCTTGCTTCTGTCCCTTGCTGCATGGTTAGGGTGGGCCGCAGAGGCCCCGTCCTGGGGGACCTCCGGAGCCCCAGGGTCACGCATGCCGGGCAAGCACCGAGGGTTCGGGCGGGCTGGCAGGGCCCCTGGCTCAGACTGTCCTCTGCAGTGGATGCGTGCCCGCTGGACCTCTGACCCCTGCTACGCCTTCTTCGGGGTGGACGGCACCGAGTGCTCCTTCCTCGTCTACCTCAGTGAGGTCGAGTGGTTCTGCCCCCCGCTGCCCTGGAGAAACCAGACGGCCCCCCAGATGGCTCCCAAGCCCCTCCCCAAAGTCCAGGTAGGCCTGGGTGGTGGGTGGGTCTGTGAGGGGGTGGAGGATGGGTCCTCTAGCCTCCCCAGGCTGGACATTCCTTTTTTTTTGGGGGGGGGGGGTCCATGCCCCTAGCAGGAACCAAACCTGAGACTCTCTGGTCCGCAGGCCGATGCTCCAACCGCTGAGCCAAACCGGCCAGGGCTGGACATCCCTTTGAGGCCAGCCAGCTCCGCCTGGTGGGTGGGCAGGTCCCAGCTCGCCCTGCTGGACGGGAAGTGAGCCGGACTGTGCCGTCCCACCTCCTGGGGCTGCTGCAGAGGGGCCCACTGGAGGGGTGGCTGGGGCCCTGGAGGCACCCCTTAATGCACTACAAGAATAGTGATAATGGCTGTCACTTCTTGAGGGCTTCCTGGGGCCAGATTGTTTGTACTTGAACCCCCACAGTCCTCTTGTAGTCGTGTATTTTTATCCTCACCCGAGGACATTCTTGCATTTATCTTCAGGGAGAGCGGAAGGGAGGGAGGGAGGGAGAGAGAGAAACATCGACATGAGAGAGACACATCGAGTGGTTGCCACCCACAAAACCCCAACAGGGGCCGGGGACAAACTGCAACCGAGGTACGTGCCCTTAGTGGGAACCGAACCCGGTCTCTCTGGTCTGCGGGCCGACGCTCTAACCGCTGAGCCAAACCGGCCAAGATTCGTGTGGTCGTGTTTAACAGATGATGGCTCAGAGGTCTACTGAGTTGAACTAGTTCAGGGCGTAGTAACTCTGGCTCCACTGGAAGGGGGCTTGGCCTCCCCGGCACTGGAGTCCCAGCCCTGACCACTGCCCTCCCTGTCTCCTGGTAGCACGTGGGATCCCTGGGAACGGTCACAGCTCAGCACCTCCTGGAGGGCTCGGGACAGATCACCTTGGCTGGGGAGGGAGAGCAGGGCCCACGGTGGGGGCTGGGCCGCGTGGAAAGGGCGAGAGAAGCTAGAGCAGGTGCCAGCCCCCCGGGGAGGGTGCCAGGCCTGTGCCCAGGGCAGCAGGTGGCTGCGATGCACAGCTGCAGGCCCGAGAGTTAGAGAACCGAGGACCGGACGTTCCTCCAGGCCGTTTTCCGGAGCGACCTGTCTCACCTCCTGGAGCTGATGGGCAGTGGGAAGGAGTCTCTGATCTTCATGAAGAAGCGGATCAGGCGTCTCACGGCCCAGTGGGCACTGGCCGCCCAGCGCCTGGCCCGGAAGCTGGGGGGCGTCCAGAGGGACCAGAAGCAGGTACCCGACCCTCTCTGTGCGTCGAGGAGCTGAGCTCGGGGGGCTTAGGGCAGGAGCACGGGGCGCCCTTGAAAGAGTTTTACAGACTTTATTTGAATTTGAGCCGGAAGGGGGAGGGGAGGCAGTCAGGTTAGAGGCATGTGATGACCCTGGGACTTTTCAGGTGTGAGGAAGAAAGACGAACTCCCACCCTACCCCTTGAAGGTCTTCATTCTGCAAACATCTTGGGAGGGTTCATTGGTCTGTCCGTCCATCCATCCAGGAAAGACTCACCTGACTCTCACATCACCTGTCTGTTTCTTTCAGAGTCCCTATCATTTCATGAAATTCTCTCTTGTCTGTGTTCACTGTTGTCTCCTCTTCCATCTGGAACGTAAGCGCCGTGAGGGCAGGAACTGACCGTCCTGTTCACCCGCAGCCCCAGTGCCCAGCGGGGTCACTCTGCCCCTTGGTTTCCCCACTGTGTCAGAAAGCGCTGCCCAGGCCCAGCTCGGAACAGCATCTGCTGCTGGCCGGGTGTCCCTGGGTGGCAGGACCGAGTGCCATTGCTCCTCCGTGCTGACCCTCTGTGTCCCCCCCAGATCCTCGTTCACATCGGCTTTCTGACGGAGGAGTCTGGGGACGTGTTCAGCCCGAGGGTGCTGAAGGGCGGGCCCCTGGGGGAGATGGTGCAGTGGGCGGACATCCTGACCGTGCTCTATGTCCTGGGCCACAGCCTGCGGATCACAGTGTCCCTGAAGGAGCTGCAGAGGTGAGTGGGGGGGGCTGTCCCCCAGGAGCTCTGCTCCATGTGCTGTCTGCCACACAGCCCCTCCTCCCCAGTGGGGACCCCTGATCACATTGGGAAGCATATTGCATTGTGCTGTTGGCACCGTTGAATTCTCCAGTCGAATTCCCCCTCTGGGCTGGCAGGCGCCCCGGTGTTTGTGCACAGGGCTGACAAATATCGGCTTGTGGAACGGAGCCATTGTCGTAGAAGTGGGGGTCCCACTGCCTGCCATCCTGGCGGTGTGGGAGCAGCCTCGCAGTTCTCTCCCGGGACCTGGCTCCTTCCTGGGCCTGTCTGGGGCCTGGGGGCCAGTAAGACCTGGAGGGTGGCGAGCTGGGCTGGTGATGTCCGTCTTCCCCAGTGCCTGCCTCCCCAGCACCCCTCTGATGCTCCGGGGGCGGGGGACTGGTGAGGAGGGAGGTGGGGCTGTGGGCGCCGGAGCCGGCACGATTACCTGTGTTTCTAACTGTTAGATCTGTGGGGTGTAGACGTACATACGGCGTTTCTTCTTTTGTTTATGAATAGTTGTTGTTTGGTACGTACAGCGATATGCGTGACATGTGAAAGCACAAGGGTAGAGCGGGCCCCCCACGATTCCGCCGTCCAGCTCGGGAATAGTTGAGCAGGAGTCTCGTGCGCCCGGGGCCTTCTCTCACCCGTGCCTCTGCCTCCCCCTGGACGAAACCTGCGATTTAGATTTTGTGTTTGTCCTTCTTTTGCCTTCTTTTTTTAAATTTCATTTTTTCTGTATTGATTTCACAGAGAGAGGAAGGGAGAGGGAGAGAGAGAGAGAGAGAGAAACATGGATGAGAGAGAACATCGACTGGCCACCTCCTGCACGCCCCCCACCAGGGATCCAGCCCACACCCTGGGCGTGTGCCCTGACCAGGAATCGAACCGGCGACCCCTTGGTGCATGGGTTGACGTTCAACTACTGGGCCACACCAGCCGGACTTTTTTTGCTTTTTTGGAAAAAAAAAATTTTTTTAAATATACTCATGGATCCATAAATGACATATGGTTTAGTGTATTTTGGTTTGGTTTTGAGCTTTGGAAACATGGCATCTACTCTATGTCGTCTCTGTGACTTGCCTGCCTCACCTGTGATCACGTTTCCGTGTCCGTTCGTGTTGTTGCACGGACTTCCTTCCACTGGTCATCGCCGTACGACACCCCGTTGTGCGACTACCCCAGAATATTCCTCAGCTTTTCCTGTCTGTGGACGTTTCGTCCGGTTTGACCGGTTTCTCTGGATGATGCCGTGGCGGGCGTTCCTGGGCGTGTACCCGCCGTACCCGAGGCAGTTTCCCTTGGGTATAAAAGGTGAACATCGGTCGAGACGTCGGGTTTGTGAAAGTTCAACTTCACAAGACCACGTCCCTGAGTGATTTCATGAATTCAGTCCCACCGTGTGGGGATTCCCCGTGGGTCACATCCTCACCACACTTAGTGTTAGGAGGCCCCCTGCTCCAGGTCCCTGGCAACGAATGAGGTCAGGCACCCTGTCCTGTCCTTACGGAGTTGCAGGAGTTCTTTTTTTTGTAAAACCTCATCTGAGGACATTTTTCTATTTATCTTTAGATAGAGTGGGAAGGAAGGAGAGAGAGAGAGAGAGAGGGGGACAGAGAGAGAAACATTGATGTGAGAGACACATCAGCTGGTTGCCTCCCACATGACCCCACCATAGCTGGGGACGAACTGCAACCAAGGCACGTACCCTTGACCGGAATCAAACCCACGACTCTTTGATCCGCGGGTGGATGCTCTAACCACTGAGAAAACCGGCCAGGGCTGCAAGAGTTCTTTATGTATTATGGGTGTAAATCCTGTGTGAGTTATGCATATGTAAAAGTCTTCTAACTTGTGGATTGTCTTGGTAATTTCTTTATGTTTTTTTCGAGGGACAGAAGGCCTACATTTTAATACAGTCAGAGTTCTCTGTCTCTTTCTGTGCGGTTAGGGATTCGGTGCTCGGTGGGCTCTGTTCCCCCTTTCACTGGCCTTTGGAGGAGCCTGCTGTACCCTTGCCCCAGGGCAGAAGGCCCTAGACTCGCTGGCCTGTGAAATGACTTTTCTCATCAGCGCGTTAAGTTCTTCTCGGTGGTTCTCCGGCCCAGGGCCCGCCCCCCCTCCTGCGTCTGTCTCTCTCCTTCTGACCAGCGGTTTGTTCTGGCCACGAAGCAGCTGCTCCGCAGCACAGGAGTGTTGGAGAGAGGAGGACGGGGACAGAGCCAGTCACTCGGGTAGAAAGAGCTTCTCGTGACCTCGGTCAGAGGAAGGTTCCAGGACCAGCCTGTCGAGTAGGAGCAGAGGAGGCTGAGACTGGGCCGTGCTGGGAGGCGCTCGATGACCTGGTGGTGTGAATGTGTCCCTGCGGCTCGGCCGTCACAGCCCGGAGCTCTTCAGGTGCACTCGCCTCCAGTAGGTCTGCGGCACATGTCAGTGCGGACGGTGACAGGGACTGACGAGGGCTCCGTGGTTGGGGCAGTGTTGGGAAGCACAGTCCCAGGTTCCGAGGGACAAAGTGTCCCCTTGAAAGAGCGTCACTGCCCCATCTGGCTGAGTGTCACCTGAGCAGGAGGAGCAGGGCGGGGAGCTGTCCCCCAGTGCTGGTGCTGAACCTTCAGACTGGCTACCCAGCGCTGGGCGAGGGAACCAGCGCGCCCCGCCCTCTGGCTCTCACCCCGGTGGCCTTTTGCTGTCAGACCAAGCTGTTCAGGTTGTGCAGGCCACCTCAGAGCCGGTGTGCCCCCTCGCCACCTGCCAGCGACCGAGCTGCTCACTGCGCTGTGCCGACCCCTGGCTCCCTCTGAACGGGGTGCATCGGCGCGTGGAGCAGAACCCTGCAGGGGCCGCTGACGTTTGCAAAGCATGAAAAGAGGCATCATTCTCTGGCCTCGCAGCTTCCTACAGGGAAGTCAGACAGGGTGAGCGTGGGGAGGAGGAAGGAGAAAGGGCCTGGTGTGTGGGAAGCCAATGAGGTCTTGGACGACTTGTGGACGGCACAGCCAGCGGCCAGGGGTAGCCATGGGCCAGACCTGCCTGAGGCAGAGCAGCAAGCAGGGGTCCAGGGTCCCTTGTCCCTTGGGTCACCAGAGACCCCAGGATGCAGTGAGAAGAACCCTGGGGTGGTGGCTGTCCAGAGCCCTCATCCCAGGCTCGGCCAAACACACAGTCCCTGGCGGGTGCGGAGCAGCCTTCGGCCAGCATCCGTTCGCTCCACCGCGGGGTCAGAGAAACTCTCCTTTATTCACAGCGTCCGGCTGGGTTCCTCCCTCTGACCGTGCACCTTCTGGGGCCGGAGAGGTGAGGGCTTCTTTGCTTTGCTGCTCCCTCCGGGAGTGGGGAGGCTCGTCCCAGGCTTGTGACAGCTCAACGCCGTGCTCAGAGAATCACCTTTCATGACAAGTGTCCTACGAGGCAGGAATTTAACTCAGTCACCCCACTTCTCAGCACATGCTCGGGTCTCCTCGTTCAGCCTTCACCCGGAGCCCTCACCTGCCCAGAGTGTCCTCCCCTCTGGCCACTGCTGGGGCCTGGTGCTGAGCCACCGTCAGCGAGGCTGCACTGCCCATCGCAGGGCCGGGGCAGTGAGGGGGCCACTGCACTCGGGGCCCCTGAAGGCGAGGCCCTGGTAAAACGTCTCAAGGTCTGAAATAGGCCCCTGCTGCCATTTCTTTCACTACACGGTGTACCCCCAATGCAGCCCACAGTGCGCCTTCTCCCCGCCACCCCCCCCCCCACAGGGAGTCCGTATCTTCCCACCAGCATGTCCCTTCCTGCCAGGCCGTGTGACTCGGACAGTCCCAGAAGCAAGGGCTCCGGGGAGGGTCGCCCCGTGTCCGATTTGCAGCTTGTTAAACGGGCAGGCCCAGGGCTGGGCGCGGACGGCTCTGCTGGTGGTCTGGGCCTGTAGGTGCGGACGCTCGCCCTTGCTCAGACAGGGCAGGACGGTGTGACCAGCTCAGCTACCTCGGGACAGCCCAGAGAGGTGTTTCCGAAGTTTGTCACCAGATATCATTTTAACACAACTGCAATAATAAAAGTAAACCACCTCGCCCAGAGGACATCGTACAGTTATGTCTACAAAATTAATAGCGTCATCTGTGATTAGGGAAAAAAACCAACATTTGGGTCCCACGCGAGGTGTCTGATTTAATCGGTCTGGGTGGGACCCAAGTATCAGGTGCTCCCTGGGTGATCTAATGAGCAGTGAGGGTTGAGAGGTGGAAAATCCCGGGCGGCTGCTCTGAGCACCCCTCCCCCTACATGCACCGTCCAGTGTGGGGGTCACTGTGGGGCTGGCGCACTGTGGAATGTGTGAACTAGCCCATGTGGCTATTCAAAGAGCTGTGCTGTGTCCCTAGTGCAGGTCCTGGGGGACAGGCCTGGGGCCTGTGGTGGGGGTTCGGGGCCCTAGAAGATGTGTAGAGAGAGTGTGCAGCTCCCTCCTGCCCACATTTGCACGCCCGAAAGGAAGCAGTCATGAACCCTTGGTTGCCAGGGTAGGGCCCAGCAGAGAGGGCAAGCCAAGGAGGCACCCCTCAGAGGTGGCCCAGATAGAGGGGGCTCTCCAGCTTCTCCCAGGCATCAGGTGGCATGTACTCTGTGCCACGCCCTTTCTGGGATGAACTTTCCCCGTGACAGGTGTAGGGCGGGGCGGCGGGCTCCTCACGCTCTGTCTTTGCTGGGACCACCCTCAGGTTACATAGGCACAGCCTTGCCTTCCAGTGGAGATGTTGTGTGTAAGTTGGCTAGAGCTGCTGGAACAGGGTACCCCCAGCTGGCGGCTCAAATGTCGGGATTTCTTGTCTCACAGTCTGGAGGTGAAGTCCGAGGTCGAGGTGTCGGCAGGGTGGGTTTCTCCCGAGGCTGTGAGGGGGCCCCTGTCTCTGGCCTCCCCCCCGCTCTGGTGGTTCACTGGTGGTCTTTGGTGTCCGTTGGCTCGCAGAAGCATCACCAAGATCTCTGCCTTCATCTTC